AAAGTGTTCGAGGCCACATTTTTTGTATGATTTGGGCAATCCTCAATACAAAAATGCGAGCTTAAAATCAGCTATTTGGGAATCAATAGGAATGGAGCTCAGTGAAAATGGTAAGTGACATTACATTACATAATATTAAAATTATATTATTAATTTATTTATTTATTCAGAAGATTTAACATTAACACACTATTTGCTACCTCTGCATTAAAGAACATAATAAAGAAATAATGGTCTGGTCAGACAGCCATTCTGACGTCAGGTTGGCTCACCACTATTAGTTAATTGGGTTCTAAGAATCTTTGAGTGATAGCGTTTTTATACATATTTACTACCTATTTTCTACCTGAGCAAACCAACTTTAAAATAAGTCTCAGAAGCCTATAATTTTTTTTATTATTAATATAGCCATGAGGGGTCTAAAAACGCCTACAAAAAAGGTAAAGGTTTCTGGCCACTTTATTTCTTTATGTTCTTTAATGCAGAGTTAGCAAATGTGTCTTTGGAGGTAGCAAATAGAATCAAATAGGTAGAGAAATATGGCGTATAGTTTGATTGCGATATAAAATTTGGTCAGCCAACCTGACGGTCACCAAAGCTTTCCACTATTGTTAATTTTTATTGGTAATTGGTAATAAAGCTTTTCTTTAACACTATTTGTAATTTATTATATTATTATTAAAATAAATAACAAACATTTCTCGGACTACAAATGCGGCGTTTGGAGATCGCTGATTTGTAGATCTTTTTGAAGTGAACGCTCTTGACATGTCCGATGATTCCAAGGGTGTTTCATTGGGCTCAAAATAAAAAGACTCTCCCTTCACTCTTATGCAGTTATTGTCTTTGACAATATCAACAATATCAACCTCACTTTCTATAGGTCTATGAAAGATCCGGTATTTTCGTGCCAAAATACCAAAACTGTTTTTAACAACTCGTCTGGCTCGACAATGTCGATAGTTGAAAGTTTTCTTTCTGTTGTCGTGTATAACCGCTGCTCTAAGAAAAGGCCGCATTAAATATTCTTTCAAAGCAAAACCTTCATCTCCGATTAACACTTGAGGTGTAGTGTCTTCATTTCCAGGAGGAGGTTTTGGGGGTAACAGTGATTTGCCATTTAGGTATACTCGATAAAAGATAGAATTTTCGAAGATTCCGCTATCGCTCAATCGTCCATAGTTTCCGATATCAACAGTGATGAATTTATAAAATGGATCCACAATCGCAAGCAAAACGATGGAGAAAAAGTGTTTATGGCAAAAATAGTTCGAACCGCTGTTAGGAGGGCATTTAATAGCAATATGTTTTCCGTCAATACTTCCCACACAATTGGGAAAGTTCCATATTTCTCTGTCACCAACTTCCGACGGCCTACATATCTATTCTGTCAGTGTTGGCATATACTTCGGTTATAGTACGTTCCATATTTCTGTGCAAACACTCTTCATATTATCACCTACCGTACTGCGTAAAACGCGAAAAGAAAAAGCAATGGTTCGATAGAAGTCACCGGTGATTAAATACCTGAAAAAATATAAAATATGATTTAAATTAAAAATAAGATTCATAACATATGGTATATCCATGCGATAAATCAAATAATCAGCGATAAAAGTTGTATTGTATACATAAACATGCTTGTTTAATATTAAACTTTCTTGATATAGGTGAAGTCGTGAGGAGTAAATGGAAGACTGGTAGAGATGGCTACACCAAATATAAAAAAACAGCTTAGAACTGCAACAGGTTCTAGCAGAAAAAATATCAGTTATGCGTGGGCATCATAGCTTGCGTTCCTAGACAGTTTTAATGTGCCACGAGCGTCTTTTTCGAACGTCTCATTAGATTCTACACAGCTTTCTCCACGTACTCAAATACCTGCACTAGATTCTGAAAATTCACAAGATATGACATCACAATATAATCCACCACGACTACCATCAACATTGTCATCATCACAGGTTCAACCATTAGCTCAGGCCCTGCCTCCAGAATCGCCAGCTAATACACTTACGGCATCAACATTAAGAGTTTCATATCGCAATAAAAGACAATCATCAGAGATCAGAAGGAATGAAGATGATGTTGGGAGAGTGTTAGAATTTTTAAATGCAAAAAAGATAAAAAGAGCATAATGTCATCGATCATCTATTTCTAAGTTACGCTGACACTTTCAAAAAATTTGCCCCGCGAGAGCAAGCTATCGTAAAATTGGAATTAGCCAAATTGTTTTCGAACACCGAATTACAATTGATCAACAAAAATTCTAACGAATCGCACCTCCAGTATTCTTCGATCATATCAGCTACAAACTCCAGTGTGAGTTGTGATGAAAACCATACAATACAAAAATTCAAACTATCACCTTATCCTCTGCGTTTTAACTAGTAAAATTAAATTAAATTTCACCACCGTGAAAAAAACGTCTACCATGAACGAAGTTTCCCGCGCTTTGATTGAATGAAAATATGAATTGAAAACGAATCTCTAAACGAAAATCTATGTGCATTCGTATAATAGAACCCAAATAATGCGCTGAGTTTATGGAAATTATTTAAAAAAATACTTAATAACCATATACTAATATTAAATATAGAAAAATACTAAATAGTTATTATAGTGAGGCATTTAAAAGTAAGTAAAATATTTATATACTTAATATAATTTCTATTAACAATGCTCGAACAAGACGGTCCAAAATAAAAATGCCGGACAACGGTAGTGACACTTTGCAAATATTGATAGTATTGAATCTGCGACATAATATATATATATATATATTGTATACAGCCATTGATATACAAAAAACCCAAGATGCACAGTCTCGAATAAAAGTAACGCTCGAAAGTGTCCCGAAACACTATTTCTGTCCATAACAGTATATGTTACAAGCATATATTATTGCAAAATCAACCTTACGCGAATTGCTTAAAGTTGTTATTACAACGCAGTGTATACGTACTTAAAGCAATAAAATTTTACGACCGACCGTGGTCGGTAGGACAAGGTATTGAGTGGAGTCGAACATGACTTTTTTATTTACAACTATTTAACATAATTTTAAATTTATCTGACTTTTCGGGTGCTTTACAGCGTGAGTGGTCACGGTGACTGAAGACAAAAGGTGTTGGATGTTAAATAGTTGTAAATTTATAATAATACATAACATTAATCCGGTTAAAAAGTTTTTTCTTTAAATTAAAAAAAAATGTTAAATTGGCTACCTCCTGACCCACACTTTATATTATAGCGTAAATATATCTGTCAAAAACTACACACAAAAAAGTTCAAGAGTACATAAATTTATTTAAAAAAAAAACACAAATAAATAACATCGACTCCACTTATAGACGCGAGACTATTTGATATGAGCGCACAATTTAGAATGTTGCGCTCATTTTTTGAGGACGTTTTTTAGACGTTGATTGTGCATCTTGGGTTTTTGTATATCAATGTATACAGCATAACTAGTAGGTATCCCAGTAAGGCTATGTTCAGATGGCAAAAATTTGACGCGCGTTTTCAAATCGCGCGACTAGACATTGTGGTATTTTCATACAACTGTTCACATGAGCGCACGTTAACGCACGTCAGCGAGCGTTAACGCGGCGCTCAGAGAAAATGTCTCTAGACGCAGGTGATCGCGCGCTCGCGCGCTTTGACATGTATGTGACGTCCGAAGACTGTTCAGTTGAGCACGCGCTTTCATCGAGATTGTACGATTTTTTTGTGACTTGCTTTGGTATTCAGTTCAAAATGAGTGCATCTCAAGATATTGAAATTGATTTACTAATTGATGAAGTCCGGAAAAGGCCAGCGATTTGGGATATAACTTCAGAATCCTATAAAACGACGTGCTTGGGAAGAATTGGTTTTAATTTTCTGTAATTATACCGATTCTCAAGAAGACTTTTTTGTAATATAACCACAAAATAATAGCTTCTTCCACGTCCATTTTTAAGCTCTATCGAAACAGACTGACGAGCTCTCACAATTCACAACGCGCGTTAGCGCTTATCATATGAACTCTTTATAAAATTGATCGCGCATTGACCTGTGTTAACGCGCGTTACGTGTGAACTTAGCCTAAAACCTTCCCCGGAGCAAGCGACATTAAGAAAAAAAACAAGAGTGTTTTAATCATTTTATTGTTTTATAAAAATATGTATTTACAAACAAATTATTTACAGAAATATTCGTTAATAGGGTCACATGTAATTTTCGACTAAACAAAATCCGTTATATTTCAGTCAATTTACACAAAAACATAATTAATTAGGTAGGTATATATCTATGAAAACCCTCCTTGAAAATGACACAACTATGTTTTTCATTTTAACAATTTTTATATAATCATAACCACCAACTAAACCCTATTTTAAACCAACACAAACTTTTAATCTTTTAGCTTAGTTTAACCACTAGTGATCCAACTTAAACCACTCCCTTTCATCACTATAATACAATTTCTATAATTTACCCAAATCTATCTGTATTTCACTTAAACTAGTTGCTATTTAACTTAAGCTCTGTGTCTATTTAACACAATTTAACCCTTGTAACTTACGGGCGGTTCAAGTATAATTATCCCCCTCCATTTGTCAGCAAAAGTCAACAAAGCTCTCCAAAATAATAGTAAATAAACGTATTAATTTTTAAAGGTATCCTCGAAAAAGCATTTCGTTTTCAAGCATAGACAATGTGTGGGTAATATGTGTAAAAAATTAAATAATTACTGTTGACGTAATCACCAAATATGAAAATCAAAGACAAAACTATAATTTACTCTAACCTGACACTATTTAACTTAAGGTTTCTGGCCATTTTACACCATTCATATATGATGTAAATCATCAGTCATTTACGAACTTTTACCTCAGTTCAACCGCTAGTCTTAAACCACTGGTTATTAAACACCATCAATTTCAGTCTAAATCAAACAACTACAACAAAATACACTTTATTTACATTTGACCTAAATTATAAACTATTCTGTCCTAACTTTTACCACTGTTAACAAATGCGATTATAACGTCAGCCTGCTCTTCTTTAACGCCTATAGTTAGCAACTGTGATTTTGAAACTAGCAGGAGTGATTCGCCGTCGATTTCGTGCTCGTAGAATGATGACGACGTCCCCTTCCAACCACTGCTTGACAAGTGGTTGGTCAGTTGTTCTATCTATAAGAATTAGGGTGATAATCTATAAGAATTTCTCAAAAACGTAGTGGTTTTTGTCATGAGAATCATGAGAGTCATAACGGTTATACACTTAGTGGTATGACATAGTTCGCGCCAAATGTGTGATTCAAAAGCGTTTGTCCAAGGGTTATGTCAACAGTGAATCGTATATTAAAACAAATCGTTATAATTTTGTTTAAAACAAAACAATTTAAAAATACTTAAAGTACCTAGATTTTTCTTTTAAATAACGATTTTAAAAACCTGGGTTTGACAAAATCTAATTATTCTTTACCAGTCTTTGTAAAATGTCTGAGAAAATATGAGTTATCAGATCATAATATGTCAAATTATATTTGCCGTAATAAATTAAAATGTATATAAAATATTTTAAAAATAAGTTCTGTAGGATCGAACCTACGACGAGTAGGTACTAAACATATTATATTTACCGTCCAATTTTTGATAGCATCTGGTGTTAGGCGACTGAATGGGTTTCCTAAAAAATACAAATTTAATTATTTTTTCTTAAATGTGTAAATTTAATTATTTTTTTCTAATACAATATATATTAATTATTTTCTCCGAAAAAGGAAAAATTTAATTATTTTATATAAATTTCATTATTTTTTCCTAAAATGTACGAGTATATTAATTTTTTTTTTTCCTAAAATAATTTTAGAATTTAAAGGTGGCAATACAACGCTTGATGTTCGTTTTTCTTCCTTAATAATTTTGGAATTCATTCAGAACCATAAAAACTTTAATTACGTAATAAAAAAATTAAAAATTTCACTCCAAAATCGGAATCATTAGGGTAAATATTACTTCAAATATATCTATACCAGCTAAACCGATTTTAATGAAACTTAAGACTGTTCAAGTTGGATATTTTATTCAAATGTGACTAAGGTCCTTTATACCAACTCGTATCTATTTCGAGATATTTTTCGTTAGATTAAAAGCTGATGACGACCGTTGGAGACCATGGGTTCGATTCTCGGCTCGAAAATAGCAACCAGCTGCCATTCATTCCAAGTTCAACTTAGGTACCACAGTAGGTAATAGCGCCAGCTACGCACTTGCTATTCTCCTGGTTTTAGGCCCTCGAAGCCTATCGTTATTTAAAAAAATAAGAATTGTTTTCCTACCCTCAAATTCAAATTGAGGGTAGTTCACCAAAATACATACCATTACTAATCAGACATTCCGTTTTCTTTATCTTCGCTTGTTTTTCATTTAATAATTCTTTCTCATTCGATTTCTCTTTATCTGCCTGTATGTTTGTCTCTTTCACAATTGCAACCAACGGTATCTCATCCTCCAAATCTTTGAGGGCATCTGAACTGAGACGAATCGTTTTTTCAACGATCGGTTTGTGAATCTAAAAACATTATTAAATGTCTTTTAGTTATCTAGACTGAGATCCGTGAAGTAAGAAAAGTAATGTTAGTTTAACTTAAAAAAATTAACTAAAAATCTTAATTTACTATATTCACTTAAAAAATGGTTATTTAACTAAATAAATGGTAATATACCTAAAAAGTGGTAATGTAGATAAATGGTGGTAATTTACCTAAAAATGGTAATACACCTAACGTGGTAATAGACCTAAAAATGGTTATTTTTGTAAAAAATAGTAATATACTTAAAAAGGGATATTAAGTTAAAAATATGGTTATATAACGAAAAAGTAAAAAAGTGTTGAATACACTTACCGGAAAGGCCACATTGGACTCTTGTATAACGAAACCATCCAAAACATGTGTCAAGACATAGTCTTTATCATTAACGTCTTTATTAAACGCCTTATTAATTTTATTAATATCTTCATCAAATGGAATATTTTCCTTCGTATCGACTTTCAAAATTCTTCCTCTTGCTTGTGTAAACACAGTTTTTCGTTGTAATTTATCTTCATTAATATCTAGTACGAGCAATTTACTTTTGAGTTCATCAGGAGACTCACTTTTACGTTTTCGATCTTCGTTACGTGTATTATCTTTGGATTCAGTCTGAGCTGGCTTATCTTCGACATCATTTGGATTATCTAGATTAGCATTTATGATTTTGTTATGTCCAATTTTTGGATTATTCCTTTCAAGTTTTACTTTTGTCGGGGTTGATTTAGTAGGACCAACGATATTTACATTTGCAGCTACTGGTACACGAGCCAATCCCTTTGGTGCAGGTCCATTTGTGGCATTTACAGCATTTGTACCAAGACTAGGCCCATTTGTAGTATTTACAGAATTTGGACCAATACTTTTGATTGAATTTGGGATTTTAGCAACTGTAGCCACTGCATTATTAACAGCAACATTACGTAATGGTACACTTTTAGCAACATTAATGGCTCCATTTGCGTTAACACTTATTAAACTTGGGACATTTTTAACAGTTGCATTATAAGCTGTCAAATTTGGTGCATCATTTTTGGCCATATTGGTGATTGTACTACTTGTATTAGACATTACAGGGGTGTTTATACAATTTACCCCATTACTAGGCAAATATAGATTAGAATTTGGGGCGACGTTTGACATTACTACGCCATTATCTGTCATACGGTGTAATGTATTAGGGCCTATATCACAATTGCTTGCTGCATTAGACATTGCTTTGAATGTATTTATTGACATATGAGTCATATTTGGTACTTGGGACACTCGATTCGACGCATTTATTTGTCCATTTATGGGAGTTGCATTCATTGTTCCTATAACATTCGTCATAATTGTATTTTCATTTGCGTTTAAACTATTATTAATTACCCCATTTATAGCATTATTGGGGTTATTAAAATTGCTTGCTCCGTTTATGTTTACATTCGTTGAAATTGTTCCATTTATGGAAACATTCGCCATAGCTTCTCTATGCATATTTAGATTTAAATTGTCGCTTGTCATTGCTCTGTTTATGGCAACATTCCCCATACTTACTCTATTGTTATTTATATTTAAATTGTCGTTTGTCATTGCTCCGTTTATGACAACATTCCCCATACTTACTCTATTGTTAATTAGATTTAAATTGTCACTTGCCATTGATCCATTTATGGCAACATTCCCCATTGTTACTCTATTGGTATTTAGATTTGAATTGTCACTTGTCATAGCTCCATTGATTGCGTTTGTCATTGATATATTGATATTTGGGTTTAAACTATCCCCTGACATGCTTGCATCATGTATTCCTCTAACATTTGCAGAATTAACTCCATTCATCACATTCATTGATCTAACATTAGAAAGACCATTCATTTCGTTCATTTGCATGTTCTGTACTCTCTGGATGTTGTTAGGGTATCTTACTCTAGGCTGAATCTGTCGGTATGCCCTCGGTCGGACGCTGCGTGTTGGTCGCATCGGACGGATTTGCATGAAATTTGTCTTATCTTGGGTAATCGGTGGGTTTTGATAAATCTGGTTCGATTCTACGATAAATCGTGGGTCCACGTTCACATACATGGGGTTTTGGACGTACTGTTGTAAATATACATTCTGATCTACGGGCATATATGGCTGTACATAGTTCTGCACGTAGACGATTTGAGCTGTGCTGTTCTGCAGCCATGGTGGGGGGTTGTTCGGATTGATCACTAACGGTGGCACGTCGTCTGAAAACAGAGGATTCTATTTAACTAAACCATTCTTGAGCGTTAATAAGACTTTAAACATAGTCAATCTATTCTGTAAATACACACTATATTTGACAGCGTTTAAGGCAATGAGAAGTTGGAGAAAATGATCGTGGTTGGTAAGACAGAAGGCAAAAGATCACGTGGCCGTTCACCAACCAAATAAACCGATAAAGTGAAAAACTTATCGTCCTCAAACTATACACTGCAATAAGAGAGGCGCTGGGCAGAAACCGATGGAAACAGATTGTCCGCTCCAGATGTTTCCTTGCTGACCACGACGCTCAGACATGAGCTACCGACCGAAGAGAGAAAGAAGGTCAGATTGTGACTTGGGATCAGGTAACCTAATCGGCGAATTTTTAAGTTTTCTTAATTTTTTCAATTTTTTTAATCCTACCGCTGAACAAGGTACTTAATGTACACTTATGAACATTAAAAATATGTACTTCTAAATATACTGCTCAAATTAAAGAGAGAGAGAACTGATACTCCGTCACTCTTTTAAATCTCCTTTTTACACCAGTAAAAAGGTAAGATATAATAGTAGCACCTGCTAGTATTATATCATCTAATAACACCTTCATAAGCGTTAGAGAACACGCAAACAGGTGGTCAAGGTGAATCAAGGTCGAAAATATTTAATACATAGACTGGTCAGACTTGAACCAGTACCCAAGTCCGACCAGTCACGAGTAGCACCCGTTCAGGGATACGACGCTTGAACGCAAAAATCCTGTTGGAAACCTCACTCATGGGATTTAAAAAAAACTCGTCTTCTCATTAAAGACAGGTGAAACGCCACAAAGTTTGAAAACAATAGATTTGAAGCACGGTCTAAATAATAGGCAAATAGGTGTTTTGTGCTTGACGTGGTTAATATCGTGTCTTTTTAAAAGGCAAATAGGCGTTTTGTGCTGATCGTGGTTAACTTCGTGTCTAATTAATAGGCAAAGAGGTGTTTTGTGCTTGACGTGGTTAATATCGTGTCTAATTAAAAGGCAAATAGGTGTTTTGAGCCTGACGTAGCTAATTTAGTGTCTAATTAATAGGCAAATAGGTGCTTTGTGCCTGATGTGGTTAATTTCGAGTCTAATTTATTAATTATACTATTTGCCTATTGGCAAATAGGTGTTTTCTGCCTGACGTGGTTAATTTCGTGTCTAATTAATAGGCACATAGGTGTTTTGTGCTTGACGTGGTTAATTTCATGTCTAATTAATAGGCAAATAGGTGTTTTTTTATTAATAAGCAAGTCTTTGGTGCGATGGCGATTATGGGGTCCGGTTTATTCCATAACAGCTAATAAAAAATTAATCCTGAATTCGCAACACCTCTGTTGAGTCGCAAAACTCCTAGATTTCTACAATTATGACATAATTAAAATGAGTGTCACATACCTCGCTGAACCAGCAATTGAGAGTTATAAACTGGTAATGACATTGTACCTAAAACAAAACATTTTTAATTTTAGTCAGTTTAACATATATAGTAGTGTTGAGCTAGTGGCTTCAGCGGGCGAATCTCATCCCTGAGTCGTAGAACCCCGGCTGCACCAATGGACTGTCTATGTGCGCATTTAACACTTGCCCGTACGAAAGAAAACATAGTGGGGAAACCGGCTTGCCTTAGACCCAACACGACGCCGTGGGTCAGGCACAGGAGGCTGGTCACCTTCTTGCCTATTGGATTGACGAATTATCATGAAACAGATTTGAGGCCCAGAGAGATTTTTTTTACTAAGCTATCAGGCAAATATTCCAGGCAAGGCTGGACTGGCAACTGGCACAGACCTCACACAGACTTGAAAAATAATATCAACTAGAAAACTCATATTTTATTGCACCAACGGACAGGAGGCTGAACTGATGTCAAGTTAGTCCATAGACTCAAAGCCAGCGTTGCAGGCCTTTTAAAAATGGTCATCTTTCTTGTGAGACCCTTAATCGAATTGGTTCGGAAATACTTCAGTAGGCAGCTGGTTCCACATAGTGTTGGTGCTAAAACTTAAAACTCTCAGTTGTGGAAGGGACGTCGAGGTAGTACCGTTGAAATTTCTTCATCGACGTCTGATGATACTCAGCTGCAGAACCGTTTAACTCCTTTTAACACTCTCCACGTTAGTGAAGATACAGAGAGACCCCATACGTCTGGTCGTCGATTTATACAGTTACAAGCAGTGGCCCGGAGTGAAGTAACATCTGGCCATGCTGAGCACACCAAGCTTCTTGTACTTGTCGTCGACAAACCGAACGACGTTCGATAAGTCGACGCCAAGTATTCCGATGTTGGCTGTGGCTTTAAGAAGCGTGTCTTCGAAAAGAGCAGTCGTGATTCGAACACAGCACTAGGTATTTAAATTATCTAAATATATACAAGATACTTTCAATGATGTAACCAATGTGTGCTATGATAAAATATGAACCTGTATAATCGCGAATAACTCTAAAACTGTTGAACGGATTTTTATACAGTGTTTACCAATAGATAGTGTGTCTTATGAGGAAGGTTTTAATACATAATTAATTATGATTTTATGTAAATTGACTGAAATAAAACAATCATTGTCCAATCTGTGTTTAATCTGAGAGGCCATTTTTAGCCGCTGGGTGTATTACGTCTGATATAAGATGCCGCTCTCAAGCCTCTTAACGTCATAAGAAATTATTTCCAAAATCACTCCTAAATATCTAGGATTCCGAGATCTCGAAAATATATAATTCTAGCGAGATTGTAATTCTCAATCCCACGAGATCTCGAAATAACGATCACAACTCGAGATTCTAGATAGACTTCGAGATAGACTAATTCTAACACAATCACGAACGAAAATATCTGTATTTTTTATTATCTTAATAACTTTTAAATTAAATAAAGGTCAATAAAGGACTGCCACAAGGACCAAACTTTAGAATTGTTTTAATTTTCTATTTATGAATTTATAATAATTATAAATACTGTATATTTGTTTGTTGGAAATATTTTTTAGATATATTATTTATAATATTAGATAAATACAAAATAACACACACATATATATAACACAATATTCCTTACCTACATAGAAATAATAAGAGTAATTAAATTTGCTCCCTTTGGAAGACCCATTAAAGCTGGCATTTCCTCTCTGAATTGCGATTATTCCCTAAGAAAAGCACCAGCTCTGGGGTCACCGGTACCCAGCTTACATATTTAAATAGCTGTGCACTTGAACCTCACCAAAAGTCTACTACAAAAGGAACATATTACGATAAAACTGCATTTTATCGGGATGCAACGTCAACCCTGAAACGTGGGCCAGCACCTGCTCCAAGTCTTCGTCAGTGTCTCCATATTGTGGTCCAAGTGGAAGCCACTGTGAACCACGTTTCAAACTGCTGAACCAGTTGATACAGATAAGACTTGGAGCGAGAAGACGCCGTGAAGGATCCTTGGGGCATAGAACATTTAAAGATGTACTTATGGAGAATTTAATTTAATGTTTTTAGTATGGAAATGTCAAAATTTTGAATGATAGATTTTTTACGAACTGCAGTCATAAGTCACGTTTCTGAATTGATTTGATTGTCTTTGATGGTGAGGGCCCCAATCTCACCTGATGTTAACAGACGTGGCCTATCGGAGGACACGCCTATTCAGGAGCTGAGATGGAAGGGGCCAAGAAGTTCCACACCTTTGCTGCAAGAAACGACAAACCATATGGTGCGGGCACCTGGGGTTATCAAAAACGAAGGGGTGAAACTCCAGCTTCTAAATTTGCGTTCTTTGAAAGGGGAATCCACCAGGTGCCCACTGAAGTTATCGAACCGATTTTGACTTAGGGTCCTTCAAAGAGCGTACTAATTCTTAAAGGCCGGCAACGCACCTGTAAGAGTGTTCATGGGCTTACTCACTTAACATCAGGTGTACCTCCTGCCCCCAGTTCCATGAATTAAAACCAAGAAGGTTTGTAGCGCCACATATACAAACAACATAGTGCAACATGTCGCTACAACATATAAAAACTGTCCACGACCTCAGAGTTGAGAATCGAGTGACTAGGCTAACATAAACTCAGAGAACGTCCTTCATGACCTCACCAACTTCATCCCGCTCTTACTCATCGCTCCATCTCTCTCCCTCACCCTCGCATTCTAAATTCAAATCACCAAAAAATATCAACTAATAATCCATTAAAATTCCAGGCCTTCACAATATAATATACACCTTATTAGATTAAAATAAATACGAAAATTGTATGAACGTGTTGTATACCTCAAAATCAGTGTTGCGTTAAATTTTCAACCATAATACATTGTAATAAAGTACAGTCTACTATGAATTGAGATAAATTGTTATCTTTTAAGAGCGTTCCCTTCATGGGACGGCGGACATTTTATTTTTGTTCTAGTGATGTATGATGTATGTCGATAGGCGAGGGTAATTTTCTTTTGCTATTTATGTTTCTAACTGTCTTACTAAGGTAAAGGGTCTCAGGAAATCCTGAACCCCGGAACTCTCGTCTCCTTGTTTATATAAATATATATAATATTTTAACTATATTTCAGTGTTGGCTTCAGCATGCGATTTTCATCCCTGTAGTCGTAGAACCCCGGCTGTGCACAGATGGCATTTTATGAGCGCATTTAACGCTCACTTGTACGAAGGAAAACATCGTTTTTAATAGATTAATTAACAAATATAAATAACTTTTATCGTAACGCCCTTTTAAATAGAATTTCCTACACATATAATATACAAAACAATATATTAAGGAAGCAGTCACACATACACATACGTACGCACGGACACACCAGTTTTTATAAGTACAGTGATCCCCCTACAACGCTGTAGTCCCGGGCTGCGTTATAGGAAATCGTGTTGTGTTGTAGGACTATGCTCGTAAAACCGTTTTTTTTTAACAATTTAAAAACATGGAACACGAATTTTATAAAGCTATTTAGTTTAATTTTATAACGTAATTGAAACAGTTGCAAAGGTACACCAAGCAAATTATGGACTTGACAATTCATTATAAATTATACTACAGAAATATAAGTTAAGAAATCTCCGCGTTATGTGAGAGACGGAAATCGCGTTATAGGGGGGATTATTGCATTAAGTATATTTTACGAGGTAGACCGTTCATGGCAATTCTTTGTTAATACATTTAGTTTTGAATGTTTTTTTAAAGCTATTGTCTACTACTATTATATACAAATAAACAAATAGTAAAGCTGTAGTTCAAATAGCAGCAATTATCTTGATATTAATTTTATAATCTTGCTTAGTAAATTAACGCAAAGCTGATAAAAAATATTCTGTCCAGAGGCTTGTTCATATAACTGCCACGGCTCTCTTCCCGTACGTACTCTAAGGACTAATTTCTAGAACGTCTAACTTAAATCTAGTTTCAAGAGCTGTCAAACGATTCTTTCTGTATGGAGACTGTGACTTGAGATACTTATTATAATATAGACCTAACTGTATAAAAACCAATTATTCTATGCTTAGCTATGTTTCAATTAAAGAGAGCATGTTAAATAACATTACAAAAACTTAAAATATATCTTAACAATATTAAACTTATCTACAACCGAAGAAATATATAAATAAAATTAAATATCGATAAATCTCTGGAAAAACTACATCCCTAGCGTAATTTATGGGCCGCCATCGTCGTGCTGCAAATCCCAACCGAACTATAAATAAGTAGAACGTGTAAGCAAGACAGACATATCCGGTGTTTAAGGTGTTAGAAAGAGAAGGCAAATCAGCTGTTATTCGAAATCATGGATTATAGTCGATGTAACTCATTGTTATTATACTGCTTTCACAATAATATAACCACGAACACATAGGTAGCCATTTTTAATTATGAAAATATTTAACGATCATCTTGTCAATAAAACAAATAAACCGTTCAAAAATCAAGTGAAACTAGAACGAAACGTAAACATCTATTTAATTCATAGAAATAAGGTTTAAATTTCCGTGACAAAACTTATCGAATTCCGTTGAGTTGAGTGACATTATAACAATACCACGAATAACAAGAAAATGTTTACATCCCCGTTATATTTGATATCAATAATAAAAATAATAAGCTAGAAACATAAACAACACTTACCTAAACCGGTAGTCAGCTGATGATTCTTCAAATAGCGAAAAAAGTATTAATTGTATTAAAACGCTCCAATAGCACAGACTCACAACATGATTCAATACGTAATGGCGGCCGGTCACGAATGCCGAAAACACAACGCCTCTCTACCACCAAACACGATGCGGTTGACAAACAGCGATACTATCGTTCACCGTCGAACAAAAACTGCACGATGCAATATCGATTTTAGCGTTACCCGACATTGGTACGGAGGACGCGCGGCCAATGACAACAGAGGTGGCTGAAACGCATGGCATTGGACGGAACGTGTTTCGAAATTCAAACGCTCTCCTTCCAT